ATGGGCACAGATCCAGCCATTGAAGCCAACTGGAGAGTGAACCAGTGGATGGAAGACCTCTCTCTCTCTCTGCCTCTCCTTCTCTCTCTGTGTAACTCTTTCAAGTAAATAAATAAATCTTTAAAAAAATGATAAAAGCTATTTTTTGAATGTTGTTATAACAGACCAATTCTATAAGCAATAAATTCAGTAGAATTCAAGCCTAAAAGTAAAGGATATTTCATATTTCTAAAGTCTACAATTTATGATGAATATACTGTAATTCTATCTGTGCTTCCAGTAACACATAAAACTCTATTACCAACACAAGATATTAATAACTACACAAGTACACTGAGTATAAAACAACTGAATAAAAACAGTCTAAAATTATCAACATTGACAAAAAATAAGTAGGAGTCCATATAATACCCTAGTTTAAAAAAAAATCAGGTAGGGGCTGGTGCTGTGGCATAGCAGGTAAAGCTCCTGCCTGCAGTGCTGGCATCCCATATGGGCACCAGTTCAAGTCCTGGCTGCTCCACTTTTGATCCAGCTCTCTGCTATGGCCTGGGAAAGCAGTGGAAGATGGCCCAAGTCTTTGGGCCCCTGCACCCATGTGGGGGTCCTGGAAGAAGCTCCTGGCTCTTGGCTTCAGATCGGCACAACTCTGGCCGTTGCAGCCAACTGGGGAGTGAACTAGTGGATGGAAGACCTCTCTCTCTCTCTATCTCTCTATCTCTCTATCTCTCCTTCTCTGTATAACTCTTTCAAATAAATAAATAAATCTTTAAAAAATCAGATAATAAAGGATACATTTAAAATGATTGGAGGAAAAATAGACATAAAAGCTATTAACAAAAATATTCCACATAAACTAGAAAAAATAAAGTAAAAGTGAAAAAGAATAAATGAAAATAATAGAAACAGAAAATTCTAGCGTTAAAAAAATAGACAGGGGCAGACACTTGGTATAGCAATTGAACAAGTGCTTGAGAGGCTGACTTCCTATGTCGGAGTGCCTGTGTTCAACACCTAGCCAGGTCCACTTCATGATTTCCGCTTTCTACTAATGTTCACTCTGAAAGGCTCAAGAGGTTGGGTTTCTTTCACCCATGTGGAGACCTCCATTGCATTTTGAGCTCCTGGCTTCAGCATGGACTAGCTTTGGCTGTTGCAAACATTTGGAGAGTACACCAGTAGATGAGAGATCTCTCTCTACAATTTTTTTTTTTAATTTTAAAAGATGAACTGCAGAAAAAATAACAAAACCCTGATTCTTCAAGAAAAAACAAAACCAACAAAATGTACAACTACCTTAAGAAGGGCTGCTGGTGATATAAAAATATATAAAATAAAGGAGAAAAAAGAAGGAATAACTGTTGAAGCAGAGGATTTTTTTTTAAATCTTGAGTACTTAGTTGGGTAACTATACAAACATTTAAAAATCAGGATTGAAGGAGAAATATTTTTCTTTTTTTTTTTTTAAGATTTATTTATTTTTTTGGAAGGCAGAGTTACAGGGAGAGATAGAGATAGAACAACAGCTGTGGCGGGGCAAGGCTGAAGCAGGAGCCTAGAACACCATTTTGGTCTCCCATGTAGTTTGCAGAGGCCTAAGCACTTGGACTATCTTATATTGCTTTTCCAGGAGCATTAGCAGGGAGCTGGATCAGAAGTGGTGTAGCTTGAACTAGAACTGGTGCACACATGGGATGCTAGCATTGGAGGCAGCAGCTTAATCCATTGTGCCAAACACTGGCCCCTGAATGGGAAATCTCTTAGGAGAATACAATATACCAAAGTAACCTTTTAGAAGTATAACACAGAATGATTTTCACTGAAGAAACACAAATATCATTGTATAGCAATAGAGAAATAAAGAAATGTCTCATAAAAGCATTAGATGTTTTCATAGAGAAATTCTGTCAATCCTCAAAATAACAGATAATTGCCACACTGCTTAAACTTTCTAGAACATAGAAGGAAATGATCAATTTGTCCTTAGGAAGTTTATTTAACAAACACTAAGCTGAATGCCCCCCTCCAACCCCCAAAACAACAGTAATTCTATCTAAATTAACACAAAAACACTGAATAGGACCCTATCAAACATAATCCAACTGCTTATTTTAAAATATTTTTCTTTCATGGTTCATATTTTGAGTGTACTAAGAAATTGCTCCCTACTAGAAGGCTATAAAGGCTTCCTCCTGTGTTTTCTTTTAAAAGCTTTATAATTTTAGTTTTTTCATTGGGTCTATAACCATTTTGAGTTAATTTTTGTACCTGGAACAGGTGAGGGCAACACTTTTTTTTTCATATGGAAATCCAGTTGTTCCAGCACTATTTTTTGAAAAGACTTTCCTTTACCCACTGAATTCCCCTGGCATTTTTGTGAAAGATAATTGACCACATTTTTTGTGGGTCTACTTCTATATTCTCTTTGCCATTGATCTACATGTCTATCTCTTCACCAACACCACATAGTTTTAACCACTGTAACTGTGTATAGGAAGTCTTGAAATCTAGTTTTGTAGTCCACCAGCTTTGTCCTAAAATTGCTTTGATTAATCTAGGATCTAAAATTCTACACTATTACATCTTGGAATTTTGACGGGAATGTAGTTATCTTCTCAAAGCCTCACCAGCAGTGTGTTGTAAAACCTCTGAAATTGTGTAAGTCTGAACTTTAGTAATGACTTCAAAGGCATTTCTCTTATTGTGGCAAACTTGAGAATCTTTTAAGGACTATTTTTCTTCCAACTGTTTTCTTCCTATTTTTCCAATGGTTAGTCTCACCCCTTGTATTTGTAGCATTCTGTACATTAAAGAGATCATCCCTTTGCCACACAAATTATTTTTCTCCCAGCTTGTCACTTGTTTTTGGTTTTGCTTGTGCTAACATTTACCACACAAAAACTTTATTTGAATATACTTTGTTATGAAACTTATATTGCTGGTGGATTTTCACTAATGGAGATTTTTCTCATTCACATTTTACACTTTTCCAAATTGCTATCTACTTGTTTCAACACCATTTATTAAAAAGTGCATCTTTTGCCTAGTGACTTGTCAACTAAAGGGGATGTTACCAAAAGTATTTACTAAATTTCTCACGTGCACTTTGGTTTATGTCTGAACTTTCTATTCTGTTCCATTTGTCTTTTTTAGGATTTTCATTTATTTATTTGAACAACAGAGTTACAGAGAGAGAGACACAGAAAGAGTTCTTCCATATGCTGGTTCACTCCCCAAATGGGCACAACGACAAAGGCTGGACCAGGCAAAGCCAGGAGCTTCATCCCAATGGGATTCCTGTTTCTCTCCTTCTCAGGCACATTAGCAGGGAGTTGTATAAGAAGTGGAGCAGCTGAGACTTGAACCCATGCCAATATGGGATGCCAGTGTCACAAGCAGATTAACCCCCTGAGTCACAAGGCCCACTCCCTCACTTGTCTTTCAATTTAGGTACTAAGAACACACATTTTTAAATACAGAGATTAATTTATAGTATGCTTTAATATTTGGTAGAGTTAGTCTTCATCTGACTTATTTTTCACTGTTCTATTCTTTTATGTTTATCTTTTCACATAAACTTTAGAAACAAAAGTTACATATACTGAGAGAAAAATGATATTTTTATAACATTAGGTCATCCTATTCAAGAACAAGGAATGCTTTTTCATTTATTCAAATCTTTCTGAATTTTTTCTCATATAAATTTTACACATCTTTGTTGATTTTTTTTACCAAATATTGTCTTTCCATTGCTGTTATATTCTCTTGTTTTGTATCTTTTAACAAGTTATTGTTCATATTAAAGTTATTTTAATTTCACATCTGCCACCATCTTGGATTTTTTATTGTCTGTGTTGGTTTTATAACGACCATGGTGTATTTTGATAAAAGACTTAGCTTTCTCTTAGTGTTGCCATGATATATGAGGTTTCAATAGCATGCAGGATAGAGGGTTACAAACCCAAAGTAGGTCAAATGTTGAGCTTGCTTTACAAACCATGCACCACTTATCTATGTAACTTTCAGCAATTCTGTAACCTGTATACACTGCTCTTGAGACTCAGTTCCTGGAGCCTCGAGGATACCACAATGTATTGACCCTTCCCCTTAGACCTGTCCAGCAACACCCACACCTGTTAGCCCTACTTCACCCTGCCTTAGGCACTAAGTGTTTAGATCGCACCTCCCAAGTTTCTCAACCAATGAGAAACTGGGGCAAGGGACCTCTGCAAGGAGCCGAATGTCTGAGGGAGGTGCCTCTGGTCACCCAGCTCTGGAGAGCGGGTATCAACAAACACCTCCCTTTCTGTTTCCGAGTCCATGCTTTGCTGGGTAGGGGGTTTCAGGTGGGCTTATTTCCCACAGTGTCAGCATTGATTCTCTAGGATTAAGCATTTCTATCTATAAATAGTAACAGTTTTACTGTCTTCTCTTGTCTGATTCCTTCCCCTAATACCTCCAGTACGGCGTCGAACTGCAAAATGGGTGTCATGACCATCACTATGAGCCCAAGAACAGTCTCCGACAAACTCAACTGCCTGTAGCATTAATTTCCACATATCTTTCCACGTATCTTTATTATTTACCACGTTCCAGAAAAACCAAGCATCACATTCCCAACCCCTCCACCCCAGTTACACTCTTTGGCAGGGCCGGCCAAGAACCCAGCATTTTTCCGAGTTATTTCCAATCACACTGGACATCCACCCACTGAGGCGGGCCCGACCCTTATGCCCATTTCACAGATGAGCCCCGCAGAGGAGGGCCCCACAGCCAGTGAAATGGCAGGACTGGAACCAAGCCTGACTGTGCTTCCAAAACTTTCGCGGACGTAATTCAAACCCTCAAGTCTCTCCCGGTTTGTTCAGTTGCTGAGGGGAGGGTCGCGTGTTTGTGTCCAGTGGGCGCCCTTTCGGCCTCCAGGACGTCGGAGACGGGCGGCCGGAGCAGGGCCACTAGGGCTGGAGGCGGGAAGTCCTCAGGAGGGCCGCGACACTCACCTCATGGATTTCCAACGGCCACCTCAGCCACCGCCGCCGTGGGGCGCAGCTCGACCACGCTCGGCGCCGCCTCCCAACGCCTTCCCCAACCGCCCATTCGCGCAGGCGCCCCGCGAGCCGGTTTGTGGCTTGGGCCACGTGCGCGCGCGCGCAACCGAAGACAACGACCCGGGCTGGACGCCGCGCGTGCGCCTGCGAGCCCCAGTCGCCGCTTAAGGCAGCTTCCCCAAACCCACCCCCAGTGCCTGCGACTTCGACCCTGGAAGGTCAGCGCTTGTGAACCTCCACCTCCCTCTCGTGCGTTCGCTACCCCGACTCCATCCCCCTGCATTTCTCAAGCTCCCCAAGGTCTTTAATACGTGCTCCTCTGGCCGGCTCCATCCCGTTAGCAATGCCCTATGTTGCTTAATAATTAGAATCACAGGTTCTGGGTTCCGACTGAAGGGGTGCAAATTCATTCCTGCACTACCTCTCAGCGCCCTTCGGAGCTGGACTCAACTGACAGGAGGTTAAGCTTCCTCAGCAGAGTGTCCGGGAGGAACATTGCAGGACAAGGACACTTGGTTAAGGTGTAGCCTGATTTTGCACACTCCTACCTGGCTGCTGTCAGCAAAAGGTGTGAATATTCCGTGGCACTCACCCTCCTGTAAAGTGCTAGCACCCAGGGAGTGACGCAGGTGCTGCATCGGTTGACTGTACGGCCAGTAACCCACAGCAATGTTTCCTGCTTACCAGACCCCAAACTGCTAGTTCCCATTCTTCCAGCCTGGGCAACTTATATCCTGAAGCTTGTTTCTCGCTTGTGCAACAGCTCTGGCCCTGGGCCAACGAACTTCCCCATTGTCAAGTGAGCCATAACTACACCTTCTCCAAGGTATGAATTCCAGCCTTTGGGAGGGGGGCCTTCTTCCAAGTTTGTTTTTTAAGAGTTCTCTTCACCTCCTTATTGTCTCATGTTTACTAATTCTTAAACGTTCCCTAATCAAATTACTCGATGGTTTCCTGTCTCCTGGTAGGGACACTGGTGGATATACCTGCTTACTTGCCGGGTGACTTTGGTCACATCTCTGAACCTTTCTGAGCCTCCCATGCGAAGTGAAGACAGTATTAGCACCTACCTACTTCAGATGGTCATGAGATTTTTAAATGATGCAATACATGAAAGTAGTTAACAGACTTTTTTAAAAATTTCTGTTAGATGAAGTGGGATGAGGGACAAGGGAAGGCTGTGAAAGAGACTACCAAAGTGAAGGAATTTTAAAGAGGGTCATTAATAAAGCTAAGTGGGAGGTCTTTATAAATTCCCTCTTGGAAAATCTGGGAACAAAGACTATATTGTCATAAAGACAATGTTACAGCTTAATAAAATTAGTTCCTTTTCCCTCTTTACTTAGTGGAAAGTGTTAAACTTATGATTATAAAATAAAGTATATCATTGTAAAAATTTAAAAGAATAAGGAAGGAGGATGGAGAGTGGGAGTGTGGGTGGGTGGGAGGGTGGGGAGTGTAGGGTGGGAAGTATCACTCTGTTCCTAAAATAAGTGAAATTTGTTCACCTTATTTAAACATTGAAAAAATATTTAAAAAGGGCAGCCAACCTAGGAAACACTTAAAAAAAAAAAAGATTTATTTGAAAGGCAGAGTTACAGAGAGAGAAAGAGAGAAAGTAAGTCTTTCATCTGCTGGTTCACTCCCCAAGTGGCCGCAATGGCTGGAGCTGGAGCTCCTGATCTGGAGCCAGGAGCTTCATCTGGGTCTCCCACATGGGTGCAAGGGTCCAAGGACTTGGGCCATCTTCCACTGCTTTCCCAGACCTTAGCAGAGAGCTGGATCAGAAGTGGAACAGCTGGGACGCGAACCAGCATCCATATGAAATGCCAGTACTGCAGGCTGTGGCTTTACCTGCTGTGCCACAACACCGGCCCCAAGGAAACACGTTTTGTAAATTCTGAAATCAGTTGCCAGAGATCTATGGCAGGTATGGAAATAGAAACCTAAGAAAGATACACTGCAGCTGACAGCAATAGAACATAGACTAACTTTGGATATCACTCTGTCACTCGATATCCAATTATGGCTAAAAATGACTTTGAACAAGCCATCCCAGAATAGAGCAGCTTCATGGATTATTTTCATTTTGCAATTCAATGGCACCCATCCTGACTGATCATCTGACCATGAATCCTAAAGAAGTGGTTAGATTTCTCATATTGCTTATGGGCAGCAGTTAAGATGTCCTGTGGGATGCCTGCATTGTCTATAGCAAGGCCTGGGTTCAAGTCTCAGTTCTGTTCCCATTCCTGCTATGTACACCCTGGAAAGCAACAGACTCAAGTACTTGGCTCCCTGTTACCCATCTGGATTGAGTTCTTGGTTCCCGGCTTTGGCCTGGCCCAGGCTGTTGTGGCCATTGTAGATGAGAGACCTCTCTGCCTTTCAAATAAATCATTCAAAATGAAGAAGAAGACATTGTTTTCTTCCCTTTCCACTTCCTTGCTCTTTCTTTTCTTCTTAATGAAAATCAGAGGTGGAATAAGAGTAGAAAAGAAAATACAGTATTTTTAAGGAGTGTGTTTCCTTCTGTTCTTGGATTCTAAATATTTTCAGGGCAAAAATTCTCTTACAAAGGTAGAATCTTGGTTTGAGTTGATTTTAGACTTTCTGGTATGAAGTTGGTGTGTGTGCACACGCACTCATGCTTCTGGGAAAGATTTATTCCAGGCTTTATGTGCTTCTTATCCATAACCAGATGCTAAAACAGAACACTCTTGCTCTACAGGCTGTTGCCTCTGCTAGCACATATTTCTGGCTGTTCCTAATAAAATATTCAGAATACTCAGGAACAAGTGCTCTTTCCCTCTCTGATAAATACTGCTCCCATATTTTTAGGAGAGAAAACAAGAATTTAACCAAAGGTCTTTGGATTTGCACACACTGTATGCATAGGCCACCACTGAAATTTGCAAAGAAGGGAACAAACTTTCTCTTTGGGGAAAATCTTTATTACTTAAGTGTATTTACACCAAGATACACAAACACAGCAATGTCCCTCTATGCATCGAGGTGTAATGAGACATAAGGGTCACTGGCTGCAACTGAATCTCATGGCACCATATTTTAACGAACATCTGCTCTTTTATCTGGATTAGCAAAGGTCAGGAAGACTTGTTCCAGGGTTATCTGACTGATGGAATAATCTTCTAAATTGAATTGCTCTTTAGCTTTCTCCAACACACCAAACACCTTAAAGAACAACAACAAAAATTGCAGTTACTATGCAGTTTTCTTTCCAGCCTCCAATCCAGATGAGTCTTTACTCCACTTCCCCTAACTCATGTCAAGTTTATTTGGAGGACAAAAGTCACAGAAGGGCTAGACAACAAAGAATAGGACATACTGAAGCCAAGAGGATGCAGTTCTCTATTCCCATTTTCTTGATGGATGTAGACTAACAATGGAATTTAGGGAAGACATCAAAGCAATTGAGTTCTAGGGATATTGGAAAAGAAACCTGCAGCCTCTGCATCTGTCTGAATCCCAAATACTTTCCATTATTAGTGCTCTCTTAATATGCAATGTTAGAAGGACATAGTTACAATTACAATCATCACCTTTCCCCAGCTGTTTTTCTTGCTGGGAATGTAGTAATTAAGGAATCCTTGGCCTTCTTGCTTCAATTCACTACCTAAGAAAGGAAAATAGTACAGGTGAATAATCTTGCAAGTTTCACTTATAATTGCCAAAAACATTGCTTTATTAACTTAATTATGTGGGCTAACACAAAAGGAAAGAGAACTGAAAAAAGAATAACAATCTCTTCAGTGCACACAACACGGTTAATGATTCCAGAAGATGTAAACCCCATGGAATAATTATTATGTAGAATTCATGGAGGATATTAAGGACACAAAAATTTGTCATTTCGCATGCCCCAAGTAAAAAATGTGGGATTTCTAATGTTACTACTAGACTTTATTCCTAAATAGTGTGCTGAGAATATGAAGTGGGAGGGTTTTCTTCCTGGTTATTTGAATAAGTGCATGTACAGTGTGTCTGAAGGGGAAGAGTAGGTCAAAGCTCTCTTGGTCTCCTCATGATTATGCCATCTCTATGCCACATGAAAGACAAAATCATACATATACTTGTAAATCATCAAAGTCAGGCCACATGTTCTTGCTACTATTACAAGTAAATTCTATTGGCAGAATGACAGGGAAGAACATAGTATCTATTTCAGTTTTAGAACAAACAAATGTGTTTGCATTTTTCATTTAATATTTATAGAGTATTACAAACTAAATTAACTGGGATTAAAATATTTATAAAATACATTTGTTATGGTGTGTGATTTTTCCTTTTTATTATTAACATATAATATCTTCATAGTCACATAGTTCTCTTTATTATAAAATCTTTCAAACATAGAGCTTAATGAGTTATTTAACACGAACACACATCGAAAACCACCCTATCCAGATCAAATAATAACCCAGATAGCCATCCTCATGTGTCACTTCACACCTGCTGTCCTACACTGAACATAACCAATGCCTTCATTGCTGTTATGAGCATTTCTTCTAAAAAATTATTTATTTATTTATTTGAAAGGCAGAATTACAGAGAGACGGAGGGATAGACAGAGATCTTCCATCTACTGGTTCATTCCACAAATTGTCTCAGTGGCTAGGGCTGGGCCAGACAGAAGCCAGAAGCCAGGATCTTCTTCCTGGTCTCCCATGTGAGTGCAGGGGACCAAGCACTTGAACCATCTTCTGTTGCTTTTCCCAGGCCATTAGCAGGGAGCTAGACTGGAAGTGGAGTAGCTGGGACTCAAACCAGCACCCATATGGGATGCCAGCATCGCATGCAGTGGCTTTACCCACAACACCACAACATTGGTCCTGAGAATTTCCTTTTCATATTCCCTTATATATATATATATATATGTATGTGAACTCCTAAAATTATAATTTGAATTCTCCTACTTTTGACTTTATGAATGGAATCATCAAGTGTCTATTCTTTCCTTCACTTTCATGACTCAGCATTATGCCTGCAAGTTTTGTTCATGTTGTTGCACACAGTTATTATTCATGCATTTTCTTTTTTGCACAGTAATCTGGCATATGAATATTCCATAAATTATTTTCATTTAACTACTAATAGACACATTCTAATTTATTTTATTGGGGTGCTTTTCAGAGATATAACCTACTCTGCAGAAATAGAATTATGTTGTTTGTGATTTCTGCAAAAAGCATAAATGGTCACTTAAATTTCCTTGAAATTATATAGAATCATTTGTCCTAAAAATTCTTGATGGCTGTGATAAGTCTTTCTAAAAGCATATATTCCAACTGCCTTTTGTTAGTAATATTTATTTCCTTCTTTTTAAAAAATATTCACAAATTATTTTAAGACACACATACAAACACACACGCACACAGAGGGAGAGGGAGATAGAGTAGTAGCTGGCACTCAAATTAGAACTCTGATATGGGTTGTGGGTACCTCAAGTGGCAGCATAACCCACTGCACCACAATGCCCTCCTCTATTTCTTTTCTTTTTTTAAGGATGGATATTTATATAAAGGTTTTTGTTAAGTTCCCTTTTTATTCTTATATTTGAATAGCTATTTGTTCAAGAAGAATAAAAGGAAGGATTGGGCAACCACCACCTCATAGTTGAGAATGTGTCTCAAACGCATTTCCATTAAAGTGCGTGGGTCCAAATCCTTGAGGATCAGATAATGTTTTGTGTCCCTCTTTCAAGCTAAGCAAGTTGCTAGGACGGCACACAGTAAATGAGGTTTTCTGGTCATAGCTTCTCTTTGTAGGGATTTAGGTACCACATCAAATAGAACTCTGATACATTAAGTATTTGAAAAATATTTGCCAAATGAATGTGTATGTAAATATTCATTTATTCATGGATTATAATGTCCATCTGCATAAATCATAGGCACATTATAATCTCTATGACCAATACTGAAGTAATTATTTTTCCTACACATTTTCTTCTTTTATCCATTTATTGCCTATTTTGCAATCTCCATTCTTATAATCACATTCTTTTCCATTGCCTGAAAGATGAAATTCCATCTCCTAACCTAATATACTAGGAACTACTGTAATTTTTTTTTCAGGCTACCAATGTGGAAAGTGAGATGAAAACAGAATTATTAGAATACTTGCTATATCCATACTAAGATGAGGAAAGAGAGGTAAAGAACAGCAATAAATAGTTCCTGCCTCTTATACTAAGCCAAGTAGGCAGAGAGGTACTCATAGAGCTTAGCATGGAGAAATGGAACTAGTTTTGAAAGCAAAGAAAGAAATTTAGTGGTTCGTTCTTGCTTTCAAAATCATATGCTGGATGAGACAGTAGAAAGCCAGTTACATTTTTAGCACAAGATAAAGTATATTAAGATTTATTGATTTCGTTATGGACTGAATGTTATCTCTTCCAAATTTTTTTACATTGAATGAAGCTGTAACCCACAATGTGATTTTGTTTGGAAATGGGGCCTGTAAGGAGATTATAACATTTAAATGAAGTCATAAGAATGGGCCTCTAATCCCTATGAGGAAAGTGATGTGATGTGTACATACAGAGTAAAAGTCCTATGAGGACACAGCAAGAAGGAGGCTGTCTTCAAGCCAAGGAGAGAGATCTTAGGAGAAACAAAACCTGCTGACACTTTGAACTTGGACTTTGAGCCCCAGAACTGTAAGACAATAAATATTATTTAAGCTACCCCACTTGTGGAATTTTGTTACAGCAACCCTAGCATACAATTACAGACTGTATGTTCAAATAATTGAAATTATACTCAAACTTTGTGGCTTTAAATTTGTGACTTGAGATAATAAGTAATATGAATAGTGCAAACATACAACTGCCCAACTAGCTCATGTTACTGGTGAGTAGTTCTGTTTTCAGGAAAACTCCTTAGCATAACCAGACATAAGTTTATAGGAATACACATCCAAATATAAACTCTTTATGCAAGGTCAAAAACATATAAATAACTCACAGGAAACAATTATTGAAGACATGCAAGATAAAGACAATGAGAATGGTAAGATTTAACACACTTCTAAGTGAGCCCAGCCTAATTTACCTGGGAAAACATCATAAATAAATGCTTTAAAATCATCTATTGTATCCTTATTTGTATCAGCCTTGAACTTGACATTCACAGTGTAAATATTGCCAAATTTGTTCTTGAGGTGTTGAGGGCTGCCCAGGCACACAAACTTTCCCCGCACCATGATGGCCAGCCTGGTACAAAGGGCATCACATTCCTCCATGCTAGAAAAAAAAAAAAAAAAGATACCAGAAAGGTTAGCCTAAAACTGTCCCACTGGAAGATATTTTGTAATTCAAACATCCAGGATTTTGTGACTGTCTTTGAAATGGGAAATTGCATTTGCCCATCACATGTAGAAAAAAGGAGAGATTTTCAAATGCAAAATTGGAGAGGATTAAGTCTTCAAAGGAACTATAATTCCTACCCTTTCCCCATTCTTGATTATTTAATTCAACAGAGATTCTTGGCAATTCCACTTATTTTGATTACTAAAAAGCTCACCTACTCAGGCAAATTTATTGTCCAGTGTTGCCTGACCCAAATAATTCCCTCCCTCATAGTCATTACAACTCTCCCTAGCCCACAATCAAGCATTCCAATGAGCCACACCTGTGGGAGGTTATGATGATAACTTTGCCACTTTCACGGATCTGTGTCACTACATTCCAGAGTAGACGTCGGGCTACTGGGTCCATGCCAGTTGATGGCTCATCCAGGAAGATCACTGAGGGTTTTCCCATTATGGCAATAGCAGTACTCAACCTACGTTTGTTTCCTCCACTTGGTGGTCAAGGAAGGAGAGGAGAAAGTGGAAGAAGTATATGTATCTAAACATTACAGTAACTTAATACATCATATGAATAGAATATATATATATAATTCACATCCATATTTATGGTATGTGGAAGTGCACTTTAAAAAATTTTAAGTGACACATACCAATTGAAAATATTTATAGAGGATGATATTTCAATGCACATATACAATGTGTAATGATCAGAAGAGGTATTCTTTTGTAATGCAATAGCTACAATTCAAACAGAACAAGGTTTGTGAGTTTTATCTCTCAAAAGGAAGATGTGGTACTAGTGCATCTTTTCCACTGCTGGCTTTTCAACCCAGGCAGGGCATTATATTATTTCATAATCATTGCCTCTGTTTGTCAGTGGAATGCAGTATCACAGGGTGGTTCCACAATCTTGGCTGCAATGAGGACACTATTATGGTATAATATTTTACCTGTAGGTGTAGATAAACTTGTCAGCATGGGATTCCAGGTTCAGCAACTCCAACAACTTTCTCACATAATAGGAAATCCTTCTCTCGGGTACCCCCCACAACCTAGCATACATTGTCAGTATTTCTCGAGCAGTCATGTATTCCAGCAAGGCATCAAACTGTGGACAATAACCAACTTTTGACCTTATCTGAAATAACAGAATAGCAACAAGTTAACAGTAAGTTAATAGTATATATGGATGACATAGAGCATATAGTAAACATGGATGACATTGAGGACTCAAAATTCTTTAGTCCATTGTTCCAAGGGTGTTTTCCTCCATCCCCATACACTTTTTACAAAAAAACTTCTTATCTTCCAGTGATTGTTAGATATAGCTGGAGGCTATTATCATGTACTGGAATTACAAGATGTGTATAAATACATTTCTATAGGATGAAGTTATCTTCATATCATAATGTCATCGTCAATATATGAAACAAATGAAAAATAATATAAAAATGAAAATAGTATACCTATTTACAAAAGCATTACACTACAGTGCTGGCCCCAAATTTTAAGTTTTTTCACAAAAAAAAAGGTATGTGCATTACCATATTCATTGACTGAGTTTATTTAATGATCAAGTTCCCCCCTTCCACTCAGGTTGGACCAAGTGAGTAAGGTGAGTTGGATTTCGGTATTTCCCTTCCCTCAGCTTATTTAGGCTTTGATAAATCCCCAAAAAGTTAGGTTACTATTAGAGAATTCCTTCTAAATTTTTACAACACAATAACAAAATGCTCTGCATATTTAAAATATGTGGTAATTGGGACTGGCACTGTGGCATAGCTGGTAAAGCCACTGCCTGCAGTGCTGGCATCCCATATGGACGCCAGATCCAATCCCAGCTGCTCCACTTCCGATCCAGCTCTCTGCTGTGACCTGGGAAAGCAGTCAGTGGAATATGGCCCAAGCCTCTGGGCCCCTGCCCTCGCGTGAGAAACCCGAAAAGAAGCTCCTAGCTCCTGGCTTCAGAATGGCGCAGCTCCAGCCATTGTGGTCATCTGGGGAGTGAACCAGCGGATAGAAGACCTCTCTCTCTTTCTCTCTCTCTCTCTGCCTCTCTGTAACTCTGCCTTCAAATAAATAAATAAATCTTTAAAAAAAATAAAAATATGTGATAACTAATAGAGTATCAAAAATGTAATGTATTGGAGTGAAATGGACATTTTGAGATCGATGATTGTTTATAGCCCTTGTCTCTACTGTTGAGCAAGAGTACTATTTGTTGAACTCTACGTAGTATAGGGTTAATCTTATGAGTGTAAAGTAAACTGAAAATAAATAATTTAAGAGTGGGAATAGGAGAAGGATGAGGAAGAAAGGTGGGAGAGCAGGCTGGAGAGAGGATAGGGTGGGAAGTATCACTATGTTCCTAAATCTGTATATAAGAAATAGATGAAATTTGTGTACCTTAAATAAAAGCTAAAAAATGAATCTTGATTAAAAAAAAGGTTCTTTTTCCTGTCCTACTTAGGTTGGTAGAGTAGAGGGATTTTTCTATAATAATCACTAGGAGAAGTAGGAAGAGCTCCATGGAGTAAAACAAAAATGTGGGGCTCCTAGGGACTGGGTCTCTATAGAGATTTTAATGCTCTATCCTTCTAATGAGCCACCAGCAATTCACCAATAACAGTTCAGGTTTTCCTGCCCTGGTACTGGTTCCCTCCATAGACTGTGCTCAGGAATTGGAGCCCTCACAGATGAATTGTGATTTTGTGTATTCACTTCTAAGTATCTCAAATTTGAGGGTAGTGATATGCCCTGTGACCCCTCTTTTCTTCTGATCTAAAAAGAGTGGTTTTTCAGTTTGTTCAGGTTTTCACTTGTTTGGATGGAGTGGTAACCTCCACGCTCCTTAAACGCCAGGCCAGAAACTTCAAGTCTAATTCATTTGGGGGAGGCTCCAGATCTTATCTGGCACACGTATTAGAGGCATTGCTTAGAGAACTTGCCTTTTCCAATAGCTTCAAAGAACACAAAAGATACTCTTACATTCTTCAGGGTTAAACTGTCTTTATAATATGTTTTTTTTTTTTTTTTACAAATGTTGAATTCTTCTTTTTATTTTTTAAGGTTTATTTTACTTATTTGAAAGACAGAGTTACAGAGAGAGGTAGAGACAGAGAGAGATGTCTTCCATCTGCTGGTTCACTCCCCAGATGGCCACAACGATCGGAGCTGCACCGATCCAAAGGTAGGAGCCAGGAGCTTCTGCTAGGTCTCCCACATGAGTGCAGGGGCCCAAGGACTTGGGCCATCTTCTACTGCTATCCCAGGCCATAGCAGAGAACTGGATCAGAAGTGGAACAGCTGGGACTAGAACCGGCGCCCATATGGGATACTGGTGCTTCAGGCCAGGGCTTTAGCCCACTGCGCCATAGCACCATCCCCTCTGTTTTTTGTCTAAAAATATTTCTCTCTCTAGAATCCCTTGGATGAATCAGTAGTGTCAATATCAATGCTTATGATTCCTATCTATGATCTCCTACCACTTGCCTCTTTCTTGCACTTCAAAGTCATCATGCTTCTCATATCACAAACATTACATGTCTTACCTTTATGTTATTTTTGGTGATGCTGAAACCTTTAATGTACACATCCCCAGAGGTAGCACTGTCTTCTCCAGTCAAAATCTGGAAGGTAGTAGTTTTCCCAGCTCCATTCAATCCCAGCAATCCAAAGCACTCCTCATTTTTGATTGCAAGGGAGATATTTCTCACAGCCAAAACGGCTGGAAATTTAAAATATATCTTAGAAAATAAAGAAAACACAACAGACACATATAAAATAAAGAATACTTATAGTTCAAATACAATCAACACCTCAAACCCCTACAGACAACAGTCCTCAGACAGTTTCACAAGAACTCTTGTTTCTACTGAGAAAATACAAGCAGATCCCCAAAGAAGGGCAATGAGCCCTCGACACTGATGACATCATATGTTGGCCAGTGAGTGACATTACCTTTATGAGTTCCCTAATAATAACTGTGGCATCCAGAAATTTCAGAGGCTGCCCCAGAACTCTGTCTCTTTCATCTTCTACATCTTCGTCTTCAGATTCTCCAGATAATTCCCTGGACACTGTACCCTGCATTTTCAAGACAAGAATCATATATGTGAATGCCATGTGGCATCTGGTTCTAGACTGGATAACCTCAGGAAGGCCAAACTGGGGGCTAACTTCAAATATGGCAAAACAGAAGATTTTAATCATTTCCAAGAGACTTCCAATGTATCTCCTCAAATCTCAAGTACAAATTTATTCCCTACTACTAAAGTTGAGAAACTATGTTCCTAAGCATGAGCAAGGAGCATGTTCTATCAAAAGAGATGCTACAAAATGCTGCAGTTATAACAAATACCATTATTTTTTTTAAAAAAATGTATGAGGTGTAGTGTTACACACACACACAATCTTCCATCTACTGGTTCATTTTCCAAATGGCTGCAATGGCCAGGACTGGGCCAGGCCAAAGTCAGGAACACTCCATCTAGGTTTCCCATGTAGGTGGCGAGGGCCTAAGCCTAAGCACTGGGACCATCTTCCATTGTTTTTTAAGTGCATTAGCAGGGGGCGGGCTAGTTCAGAAGAGCAGCTGTTGTAGAACAGGCATTCATACAGGATCCTGGAATTGTAGAGAGTGGCATAGCTGCTCTGTCATAACACTGGCTCCTATCATTAATTCTATTTAATAATGAAGCATATTCTGGCCTAGAAGATGCCAATAGAGTTGAGAGTAGGGAAAAGATCAGTTTTTTTCCTAATGGAAAGAAGGGAAAACATGGACAGCTTCATGTAGGGAACATCTAATCTGAATTTAAAAACAGTAATTAGGAGTTCATGAGGTCTTACAATGGGGAAGACAGATGAAGGATGGGGCATTCTACAACAGCTAAAATGTCACTAGGTGATACAATCCTATTGCACCACTGTCCTTTGTGTGGTCTATTCTTGACTGAAATGCTATATGGTATATAAAAGGAGAATTCCTGGGTGAGTATATATATATATATATTCACATGCATATGAAGATAATGCTTTAGGAGATAATGCCAGATGGTTTCTCTGAGGGGGTGTTAGTTTACATTCCCAATTATTCTGCATCCTCAACAATAAGTATTTTGATATATATATATATATATGTATATATATACAGAGGTGTCTCTCAGTGGCTTTAATTTACATTTATCTGATGACTAATAATGTTGTATACACTTATATATGTTTACTGGATATTTGTATATCCTTTATTTTTGAAAAACCAATGTCCATGACTCAGCCATTTTTAAATTGAATTGCCTGAGAGATACAAGATGGCTGGATAATGAGAAGACTCACTGGTTTCAGCCACAGAAAGGTACCAGAAAAACAAAAAAGGATCATGTTCCCAGAGAACTGACTGAGAGAAATCTTCAGTGGAGAATGGACAGAACAGAGACTCTATGGGAGAGAGGACAGACATGTAACAGCTGGCTGCATACCTCCAGTGACTGTTGTGGCTAGGACTTGCCTAGGAAGCACAATCTTCCCAGGGCAAGGTGAGAGGATCCTGCCATGCCCTGTTACAAGCAGTTTTGACTGAGGAAGAATTCCACAGTCCCTGCTGAGTTCAAGTCTGACTTGAGGAGCTGCTGGGGGCTCGGCATCCCATTTGCTCCATGAAAGGAGATCACATAGCTCCTCTGCCCTCCTCCCACCAAAGCACCAGGACAATCTTCTGAGGTGGAACTACAACTGATCTTTGTCCTGACTCAGGGATTGGCAGGCAGCTTGCTTTGGGTATAGGGCAGCTCGCAGGGCAGCTCGCAGATACCCTATACCCCGTGACTGTGAAAGCTCTGGGCATAGACCACCAAATTGAAAGGGACATGGCTTGTGATTGGGATCATGGGCACTTACGCAGATGGACTCTGGAAATGGAGATCTCAATAGGCTAAGGACAGATCTTGCAGAGGTCTCAGGGGTCACACTAATGTGCTCTATAGGTTTATGTGCTGGAGTGGTTTGGGTGCATAGGCACCATGAGCTCAAATGAGGCAGTGAATCAACTGGTTCATCTTGGCTGGGGCTGTGAGCATACCAGCCAGGGTCAACATCCCCTTCCCCTAACGGCTATAGTCAAAAGAGCTAGCTGGTGCCACGGCTCAATAGGCTAATCCTCCACCTTGCGGCGCCAGCACACTGGGTTCTAGCCCTGGTCGGGGCACTGGATTCTGTCCCAGTTGCCCCTCTTCCAGGCCAGCTCTCTGCTGTGGTCCGGGAGTGCAGTGGAGGATGGCCCAAGTGCTTGGGCCCTGCACCCCATGGGAGACCAGGAGAAACACCTGGCTCCTGCTTTCGGATAGGCACAGTGCGCTGGCTGCAGCACGCCGGCCGTGGCGGCCATTGGAGGGTGAACTAACAGCAAAGGAAGACCTTTCTCTCTGTCTCTTTCTCTCTCTCTCACTGTCCACTCTGCCTGTCAAAAAATAAAAATAAAAAAAGAGCTCTACCACACCCAACTTGGGTGTCACTCTGGACTCTTGTACCACCCACAAAAATGTGGCCAGAGCTCCCTGGCATCATACAGTTTTGGAACTCCAGTGAAAGCCCAAGGCATCCTCCCAAGCCAGAGAGGCACATTTCCAAGAACAAAGGCTTCAGAAGAGATGAAAACAAGTGATTCCCTTGATGCAAAAAAATCAATATAGAAATACAAGAGATGACAAAGAAGGTAATATTATTCCCCAAAAGGAACATCATATATATTAATATTGAACTGTGAAGATAAGGAGATTGATGAAATGCCTTAAAAGTGATTCAAAAGAGTGATTATCAGATTATTCAAAAACATAGAGAAACAGTTATAAGAAATAAGGAAATCCATACATGACACAGACAAGAATTCTACAAAGTAATAGAGATATTAAAGATATACTAAATGGAAAATATCAGAAATGAAGAACTGAAGAAGTCAAAAGAAAATACAATGTAAAGTCTTAACAGACTTTGTGGGCCGGCGCTGCAGCTCACTAGGCTAATCCTCTGTCTTGTGGCGCCGGCACACCAGGTTCTGGTCGCGGTCGGGGCGCCGGATTCTGTCCCGGTTGCCCCTCTTCCAGGCTAGCTCTCTGCTGTGGCCAGGGAGTGCAGTGGAGGATGGCCCAAGTCCTTGGGCCCTGCACCCCATGGGAGACCAGGATAAGTACCTGGCTCCTGCCATCAGATCAGCGCGGTGCGCCGGCTGCAGCACGCCGGCCACGACGGCCATTGGAGGGTGAACCAGCGGCAAAAGGAAGACCTTTCTCTCTGTCTCTCTCTCTCTCTCACTGTCCACTCTGCCTGTCAAAAAATAAAATAAATAAATAAATAAATAAAAACAGACTTTGTGAGGCATAAGAAAGAATATCTGATCTACAAGACAGGTCTTTGAAATACCTCAATCATACAAAGGAAAAAGAAATATAAATAATTACAAAGACTGAAAACAGTGTTTGGGATCTATGAGATACCATAAACGACTAAATATACAAGTCTTAGGAGTTCCTGAATGTATGGGAAAACAAGAATGACTTAGGCAGCTGATTCAGGAAAATAATAGCAGAAAACTTCCCTAATTTGGAGAAAGATATGGACATCTAAATATAGGAAGTGCATAAAACTCCAGATAGGCATGATCAGAAAAGATCTTGCTATGACACAGTATAGTCAAACTTTCAAAAGTAAACAAAAAGAAAATACCCTAAAGTGTGCAAAACAAAAATGCCAGATTACATTTAATGGATCCCCAATCACACTGACAGCAGTTTTCTAAACATAAATCCTGCAGGAAGGATCTGGCATTGTAGCACAGTGGGTAAAACTACCACCTGCCATGCCAACATCCCATATGGACCTTGATTCATGTCCCAGCCGCCCCACTTCTGATCCAGCTCTCTGCTAACGGCCTGAGAAAAGCAGCAGCAGATGGCTCAAGTGCTTGTGCTTCTGCTACCCATGTGGGAGACCTGGATGGAGTTCTTAAATCCTGGCTTTGGCCTGGCCCAGCCCCAGCTTTTGCTGCCATCTGGGGAGTGAACAAGCGCAGGTGGAAGATTTCTCTCTCTCTCTCTCTCTCTCTCTCTCTCTCTCTGTGTGTGTGTGTGTGTGTGTTTGTGTGTTTCTTCCCCTCTCTCTGTAACTCCAATTTTCAATTAAATAAATAAGTCTTTAAAAAAAGAAACTTTGTGGGCTAGGCAAGAATGGAGACACATAGTCCAAGTCCTAAAAGAAAAATAATTTCAAAGCAGAATACTTTACCCAGTGAAGCTCTGATTTATAAATAAAGGTGAAATAATGATGTTCCAAGACAATCAAAAATTTAAAGAATTTGTCACCACCCAGTCAACCTTACAAATGACATTCAAGGATGTACTATGCACAGAAACAGAGAAAAAATAATCAGTATTGTGAAAGACTGTGAAGGCAGAAAACCTCTCAGTAAAAGAACAAAGGATATTCAAAACAAACATTAAGAATATTTTTGAAAAAATGGCAAGGATAAGTCATTATTTATCAGTAATAACTTTGGATGTAAATTGACTAAATTCTCCAATTAAATTGGATTAAAATGGATAAAAAATAAAACTCATCTATACGCTGCCTACAAGAAACAAACTTCACCACTAAGGATACACACAGACTGAAAATAAAAGGATAGAAAAAGATACATTACTCCAGGAAAATGAAAATCAAAAATTAGCAAGAGTAGCAATACTCCTATCAGACAAATAAGACACTAAGACAAAAACTTTTTTTTTGACAAGCAGAGTTAGACAGTGAGAGAGAGAGAGAGAGAGACAGAGAGAAAGGTCTTCTTTCCGTTGGTTCACCCCCCAAATGGCCGCTACAGCCGGTGTGCTGCACTGATCCGAAGCCAGGAGCCAGGTACTTCCTACTGGTCTCCCATGTGGGTGCAGGGCCGAAGGACTTGGGCCATCCTCCACTGCCTTCCCGGGCCACAGCAGAGAGCTGGACTGGAAGAGGAGTAACCGGGACAGAATCCGGCACCCCAACCTGGACTAGAACCTGGGGTTGCGGCGCCACAGGCAGAGGATTAGCCAAATGAGCCGTGGCACCAACCGACAAAAACTATTAAAAGAGACAAAGTCATTGTGCAATGATTCACGGATCAACTCAGCAAGAAAATGTGACTATAGTGCATGCATATGCACCCAATGTTAGTGCACCTAGTTATAAAAAAAGTGTTAAGAGATCCAAAGGGAGACATAAGTTCCAATATAATAATAATAGAGGACTTCAACACCCAACTTTTATCAGTGGACAGATCAACCAGAAAAAATTAACAACAAACAATAGAGCTAATTTACACAACAGACAAAATGAACCCAATTTATATTTAAAGACCATTTCATCCCACAGCTGCAGAATACATTCTTTTCATCAGTGCATGGAACATTCTTTAAGATAGACTATATACTTGGCCATAAAACAAGATTAGGGGCCAGTGCATCCCATATGGGTGGTGGTTTGAGTCTTGGCTGCTCTACTTCAGATCCAGCTTTCTGCTGTGGCCTGGGAAGGTAGTGGAGGATGGCCCAAGTCCTTGGACCCCATCATCCATGTGGGAGACCCGGAGAAGGCTCCTGGCTCCTGTCTTCAGATCTGCACAGCTCCAGAAGTTGCCGCCATTTGGGGAGTGAACCAGTGAATGGAAGGCTTTTCTCTCTCTCCCTCCCTCCTTCCCTCTCTGCCTCTCTGCCTCTGCCTCTCTGTAACTCTGCCTTTCAAATAAATAAATAAATCTTAAAAAAAAAAAACCAAGTCTTAACAAATTCAGAAAGCTAAAATCCTTTCATGTATATTTCTTATACCCAATGGAATGAAACTGGAAATTAGCAACTTAAGAATCACTAGAAAATATGCAAACACATGGATATAGAACAACATGATCCTGAATGAACAGTGGATCATAGAAGAAATCAAAAAATTCCCAGAAATTAATGAAGATGACAATACAACATATCAAAACTTATGGGATACAGCAAAAGAAAAATGCAAATAAAAACCACAATGAGGTTTCACCTCACTTCAGTTACAATGACTCTCATACAGAAATCAACAAAAAATAAATGCTGGCAAGGATGCAGGGGAAAGAGTACCCTAACACACTATTGGTGGGAATGTAAACCAGTATAGCTGATATAGAAGACATTATGGAGATACATCAGAAAGCTGAAAATAGACCTATATGACCCAGCACAATCCCACTCCTGTGAATTTACTCAAAAGAAAATAAATCAGCATATGAAAGTCAACTGTACCCTCACACTTATTGCAGCTCAATTCACAATAGCTAAGAAATGTAACCAACCCAGAGGTCCATCAACTGATGACTGGATACAGAAATTGTGGAATACATACATACATATATATATATACACATACACACACACACACACACACATATATATATATACATACATACTATATGTATATATAGTATGGAATACTATTCAGCCATAAAAAAGAATGGAATCCTGTCTTTTCCAATAAAATGGATAAAATTGGAAACCATTATACTTAGTGAAATAAGCCAGTCCCAAAAAGACAAATACCATCCCTGATCTGTGGTAACTAGTAGAGTACCAAAAAAAGTAATGTATAGGAGTGAAATTGACATTTTTGAGATTTGATGATTGTTTATAGCTCTTGTCTCTACTGTTAAAGAAGTGTTTTTTTTCTTCTATTTGTTGAACTCTTTACTTAGTGTACAGTTAATCTTATGAGTGTAAAATAAACAAACTAGATCATCGTAAAAATTAAGACAATGAATAAGAAAGGAAGGAAGAGTAAGGGTGGGAGTATGGGCAGAAGGGATGGCATAGTGTGAAGTATCACTATACTTCTAAATGTATATAAATGAAATACACTAATTCGTTCACCTTAAAATTTTTTTAAATTAAATAAAAATAAAAGGATAGAAATAGAATAAGACACCCAAAAAAGTGGAAAAACCCTCCATGTTCATGGAAGAATCAATATCATCAAGATGTCCATATGAAGCAATTTACAGATTCAATTTGATCCTAATCAAAATACCAAGGACATTCTTCTCAGATCTAGAAAAAAAAGATCCTACATATCAGTGGAAATGCATAAAAAGTATACAAAAAAAAACAAAGATAAGAAAATAAATCAAAGAATTGAAAAAACAAAACACACAACAAAGAAATTAAAATTCAAAAGTTGGTTCTTTGAATTTGAGTTTGATAACCACCTAGCAATAGTAATCAATGAAAAAGATAGGCAGATTGGGAAAGAAACCACAAGTTCCCAACAAACACTAAACACAAAAAGAAATCATGAGGAGCATGTTGTGACACAATGGGTTAAGCCACTGCTTGCAATGCCGGCATACCACTTCAGATGCCAGTTCCATTCTTGGCTGCTCCCACTTCTGATCTAGCTTCTTGTTAATGTGACCAGGAAAGCAGTGAAAGATGGCCCAAGTCCTTGGGCCCCCACCACCATGTAGAGACTTGGATGGAGTTTTAGGCTCCTGGCTTTAGTCTGGTGTAGCCCCAGCAGTTGCAATCATTTGGGGAGTGAACCCATGGGTGGAAGATCGCTCTCTCCCTCTCTCTCTCTCTTTCTCCCTGTCACCCTGCCTTTCAAAAAAAGGATATGAATAAGTTGATGTCAATAAATTCCTCCTTCTGATTATGCCCATTGCCCTCAGGATCAAGTCCAAAATTCTCAGCCTTATGAGGTCTTACCTGACTTGGGCCCATCATCTTTGGCAGCCATCTTTCTTGCTCTACACAACTTGGACTTGACTTAAGGCATAACTAATTATTTGCAACACTTTGAATGTTTCCCGTCTTCTTACTTGTTGCTAAGTTGATTCCACTTCGACTTCACTTCCCTGAGCATCACACAGGATACATGGCTTGGTTTGCTGTCTTCCAGATACACTTTCAGCATTTTGTGATTTTAGTCACAACACCTGTTTTCCTTATTGGTATTTTTGAGCTCTGATTTGATTCTCACCCTAAGGCCCTTCTTTTTGTATCTCTGTTCAAGTCTCCTTTCATCTCTCTTACAAGGTTTGGGATCTGTTAGCTCCTCTGGGACCTCTTTCAGGAGTCTGAGTCCTTATGTAATGTGATACCAGGCACATCATAGATGCCTAAGGAATAGCTTTGGAAGGTACAACCAATGACCTCAGCCTTGGGTGTCAGCCTTTACTTCCTAGAAGCAATGATGCCTAACTAGCTGTGCCCACCCGTTGAGAAGGACTGTACTTTCCTTTACAGATTAATATCTCAGCTAACAGGAGACTCTTACAAGGCAATAGGTGCTTTAGCATCTGTCTCACTTCTAGAGGCACATCCTGGATCCTCCCTGCCTTTCATGGCTCACCTCATTCCTCAGTGGTATCAAAACTTTGTTTGATTTTGTGAAGAAAGGCCATGGGAGTGGTAAGAATTTGGACTGAGGTCTTAGTTTATGGGCAAGTCTTACCAGTTCATCTAATTTGGTAACAGAGAGGCCCTTTTGTCCTAAAATGATCTCTCCTCTGAGAATATTTCATGTAGTGTTTCTCACAGTGTGGGAATGTGTTATGTATGAAAATTTTCAGATTATACTCTAGATCTACTAAATCAGAAACTCAGAGGATAAGGATGAGCAATTTGTAGCTCAACAAAGCTTCTAGGGGATTCTAACAAACACTAAAGTATGAGAACGACTGTTGCAGAGCATTGCTAGCATGTGTGTGCTACAGGTGACCAGTGTCAGTATCACCTGGGAAATTTTATAACTATGCAGGGGTCAAACTGGAATGAATGGGAAGTTTTGGGAGGGAGCAACTGTGATAGGACAGTTGTTCAAGGGAAAGATTTCTATTATAATCCATTCAATATATATTGCATATTATGAGTGGTAAAGGTCACGATGTTTTAAAAAAAAAAACCACAAATTCAAATTGTGATGACCTGTGAATCACATAGCTACTAGTCAACATGGATTGACTGCTTTTCACATATCCAGTAATTAAGTGAAGTATGTGTGAAGCTATGCATTTGTTTTAGAGTGGTCTTTAAGGTCCATGTTTAGTCACTCACCTTATTAAGCTTTTTGTAGATACCAAAGAAAATATATTGAGTAACAAAAGTTCTCAATATCCATGCATAGGTATCCATAAAGAGAATCAAGATGAAGTAAGCAAATCCTGTGGCAGCCATTGCTATTATATATCTTCCGATTGTATTTTCATTCACACTAAATACATCACGTGCCGCTACTAATGACAACAACAACAAAAATGGTAGAGGCTTACTTTTAAAACAATTAAGACAATGAACAAATTGTAAAAAGCCAACAAACAGGAAGTACTATAGAATCAAATTGAATGGTTATCAAATCAGCTCAGAATCAATATATTTACTGGCTATTTACCTTGAATGCTAGGCAATAAATACAAATTCTTTGAGAGGCAGAAAATTTTAATTCTACAATTTTTGTGTTGGCAGTAGTTCCAGGCATCCATTACCAACAGGCACCGTACAGTCACAATCATTGTGTGAATGTTCACACTAACCAAAGCACAGAGTAGCAATAGAGGCCCTCCTTGCTCTTCAATATTCTTTCCTTTGACAATACTGCAAGTGGTGGCTCTGAAGGTGTACAGCAATGGCAGAAAAATCACCTGAGAACACTCGGACATATAAACTAACTTGTCCAGCAATACTTTGCATTCATTTTAAAAATTTAATTGTATTACATTTTATCTGTAGGTATTCTTCAGTGTTGTCATTTTATGTAGTTTTTGTAGTAGTTGCTTCAGGTGTTACACTGACTACAGTCTAATGCTGCCATTCTTTTTTATCAGTTTGAATGAAGTATAGAAACCTTTCCATACTTTACATCGTTTTACATTCTCCGTTTATAATGGTCTTGAATGTTTCTCTTTATTCATTGAGAACAATGTAAGAAAATGTTATAAAAATGTTATACATTTTGCAATTAGTTTTTTTTTTTTTGACAGGCAAAGTGGACAGTGAAAGAGAGACAGAGAGAAAGGTCTTCATTTTGCCGTTGGTTCACCCTCCAAAGGCCGCTGCGGTCAGCATGCTGCAGCCGGCGCACCGCACTGATCCGATGGCAGGAGCCAGGTGCTTCTCCTGGTCTCCCATGGGGTGCAGGGCCCAAGCACTTGGACCATCCTCCACTGCACTCCCTGGCCACAGCAGAGAGCTGGCCTAGAAGAGGGGCAACCGGGACAGAATCCGGAGCCCCGACCAGGACTAGAACCCAGTGTGCCGGCGCGCAAGGCGGAGGATTAGCCTAGTGAGCCGCGGTGCTGGCCTGCAATTAGTTTTAGAAAGTGTTTATTTTTTTCAAGCTCAAGACAAAAACTATATTGAATGCTTTTACTCTTTCCATTGTTCTTTCTTCCTTCTTCTTCTCCAAAGATTTATATATTTATTTAAAAAGTGAAATAAGACAGACAGAGAGAGAAACATCTTTCGTCCAATGATTGACTTCCAAATGGCCACAACTGCCAGGACCCAAGTTAAGAGCCTGGATCTCCATCTGGTTTCCTATGTTACTGGCAGGAGTCCAAGCACTCAGGACATCTTCTTCTGCTTCCCAGGTATATTAGCAGGGAATTGGAACAGACAGAAGTGGATCAGCTGAGACTCGAACCAGCACTCTGTGGGATGCCGGCATCATGGATGCTTGATGTTCTTAAATTATTTATTTAATCATTTTCTTTCTGTTTATAGAGTTTCTGTGAGGCATTATCTTATAGTTTCTTTTTGTTACAAATTCTTGTAGTTGCCCTTTATTTAAGAATGTCTTCATTTTCATTCCTGAAAGACATTTTCTTTGTATAAAGAATTTTGGTTGACAGTTTTTTTTCTTCTAGCACCTGAAAAATATTGTCCACTTCCTTCTAGTCTTCATGGTTTCTAAAGGGAAATCTGTAAATTAGGAAAATTGGTATTCCCATATATGGGTAAGGTGTCACTTCTCTGTACTCAAATTCTGGATATTGCTTTAGTAAGTTTACAGAAGTTTGACTATTATATTTTTGGCATGAATTTTATTTTAATATGTTTTGAGTTTACTTAGTTTCTTGAGTCTATAGATTTTTATCTTTTATTTGGGACAATTACAGCTGTTATTTCTTAGATCATTTTTTCAGTTCTTCCCTCTGTCACTTGTCTTCTGGGACTACAATGAAACAAAATTTAAATCTTTGGTTATGGTGCCACAGCTCGCTGAGGCCTGGCTCATTCTTTTTCCCAGACTGGTTAATTTCTATTGTTCTAGTTCATTCAGTTTTTGCTCTCACATCTCCACTGGGCGTTAAGCCCATTTATAGAGTTTTAAATTTTGATTCTTGTGTTTTTCATGTCTAAAATTTTTACTTGGTTCTTCCTTAACTTTTCCTTGCTGAGACTTTTTTTTCTTTTGTTTCACACATGTTCATAATTGCTCAATGAAGCCTTTTATAACTGTTTTCAAATCATTGTCAGATATATTTTTATAAACAGCCTTACTGAGAGAATTAACATGCCTCAGAATTCACCCATTTGAAGTATGCAGTTCAGTGATTAATATGTACCTCCACCACAGTTAATTTTAGAACATTTTCATCTCCTCAAAAAAAATTCCTATACCCTTGAGCTATCGTATCACTCTTGTATCCCACATACTCTGCCCTAACTAACTGGTAACTTACATCTCTAGAGTTTCTAATTCTGTTATGATGTCTGCATTTTAGAAAATGGCAAAAGTGGGAAGCCCAGATAGAGTTTCAAGTTCCTGGGTTCAGCTGTGCTCCTGCCTTGTTTGTTGTAGCTATTTGGGGAGTGAACTAGCAGATACAAGCTCGCTCTCTCTCTCTCCCTCACCCTCTCACCCTCTCACCCTCACCCTCTCTGCCTCTCTCTGTAACTCTTTAAAATAACTGAATAGTCCTTAAAAAAAAAAAAAGAAAAAAGATGTTTGCAACCCAAACTGGAGTACCTCGGTATTATACTGATCCCTGGCTATTGACTGCAGCTTCTTGCTAATGTGGACCTTGAGAGGCAGTGGAAAACCTGGATTGGGTTCCTGGCCCGATGGTTTGGCCTGGCCTGGCTTTGGCCACTGTGGGCATATGAGGAATGAAGCAGCAGATGGGAGCTCTCTTCTTCTGTCTTTGTCTCTCTGTATTTCTGCCTCTCAAATAAACAAAGACATTCTATTCCTAAAATCCACCATTAATAAAATAAAAAGACAAACCATATATTGAAATAATATACTGGCAAGTTACCTATCTGAAAAAGGATTGGTATTCAGAATGTATAAACAATTCTCAAAATATAATATTAAGAAAATAACTCATTTAAAAAGTGGAAATGAACACTATGAGAAACGGTGACTTGATCAGCCCTTGCCCTGACTGTTGATGAACAACTTAATACGTTATCCCTCTTAGTACTTTTTTGTTTGTTCTACTTAATACTTTTGGTTGAATACTGTAATCAATACACAGTTATTCTTAAGTGTTGAAACTTAACTGAAAAGTGATCACAAATATAAGAGTGTGAATAAGAGAAGGAAGAGATGTGGAATTTGGGACATGCTCAAGCTGACTTGCCCCAAACGGTAGAGTTAGAAACACACCAGGGTATTCCAATTCAATCCCATCAAGGTGGCATGTACCAATGCCATCTCACTAGTCCCAGTGATCAATTTCTGTTCACAATTGATCATAATGATAGGACTAAGAGCCAAAGGGATCACACAAACAAGACTAGTGTCTGCAAATACTAACTGATAGAATCAAAAAGGGAGAGAATGATCCAACATGGGAAGCGAGATACACAGCAGACCCATAGAATGGCAAATGTCCTAACAGCTCTCTGGCCTCAGAATCAGCCCTTAAGGCATGCAGATCCGGCAGAAAAGCCCATGAGAGTATTTCAGGCCAAGACACTCTGGCAAAAAAAAATAAAAAGAAAAAGAGAGAAAGAGAGAAAGAAAGAAAGAGAGAGAGAGAGAGAGAAAGAAAGAGAGAAAGAAAGAAAGAAAGAAAGAAAGAAAGAAAGAAAGAAAGAAAGAAAGAAAGAAAGAAAGAAAATGACCTAAATGAAAGATCTCCATGAGTGAGATCCCAGTGGAAAGAATGGGTCATCAAAGAAGGAGGTACCTTTCTCTGAAGGGAGGAGAGAACTTCCACTTTGACTATGACCTTGTCTAAATATGATCAGAGTCAGTGAACTCAGGGGGCTTCCATAGCCTTGACAGCTCATGACAAGAGCCTAGGGTGATTACTGATGCCATAAACAAGAGTGTCAATTTGCTAAGTCAACAACAGGAGTCACTGTGCACTTACTCCTCATGTAGGATCTCTGTCCTTAATGTGCTGTACATTGTGATTTAATGCTATAACTAGTACTCAAACAGTATTTTTCACTTTGTGTTTCTATGTGGGTGCAAACTGTTGAAATCTTTAATTAATATATGCTAAACTGATCTTCTGTATATAAAGAGAATTGAAAATGAATCTTGATGTGAATGGAAGGGGAGAGGGAGCGGGAAAAGGGAGGGTTGTGGGAGGGAGGGAAGTTATGGGTTGGGAAGCTATTGTGATACATAAGCTATACTTTGGAAATTTATATTCATTAAATAAAAGTTAAAAAAAAGAAAAGAAAATAAACAACTCTTTTAAAAAGTGGACAAAAGAAGTTTCCAGACACATCAATAAAGATGACAGAAGTGTGCTAAGTACATGAAAAGATATTGAGAAGTTTCATCACATATTGGTGCTGAATTTTTTCAAATATTTTCTTCAGTCTCTATGGAGATCACGTAATTTTTAAATTCCTACTGTTAATACATTGAATTAAATTAATTTTTATAATAAACACAATTGTATTTCTTTTTTTGTCTTTCTTTTTTAACTTTTATTTAATGAATATAAATTTCCAAAATACAGAATATGGATTACAA